TTGGTCAAGAACGGCAGTGTATGAGGAGCTGTTTCATGATACGGTAGCGGACTCCCATCTTACTAGCACGGTAGTCCATCTTGCTTTTTTGATCTTGGATCCTGTCCTGTCGAGATCGACTCTCGCCTAACGAGCAATCTGTTTATTGTACCAGCAAGCAAACTAGGCTTTCTACCTGCACTTCGACGTTTGAGTTGCTTTACTTGCCTATACATAGGAAGTAAAGCAAGAACAAGATTGCACCATATTTTCATGCTCGTGAGCACGCTCCAGTACTTTTGTGTCATTGCCTAACCAGTTTTTCTTCTTTCTGGCTTGTTATTGTGTCGTTATTTTATAACACTGCATTTTCTCGTAGTTGTAGTGTTTCACCTTATTTGAATAACTCTAAACGTAGTATTTCTAGTGTATTTTCGGTTTCTCTACGTTGGTCATAAAGTCAGCAGATACTGGTTATTTTAACAAGCATAGCTGCAAGGGTGTAGTAAAAAATGGTATTCATTGTGACAGGTGCTTACTGTGTTACTACAGTATTTGTCCACGGTTGGATGAGGAGTCCATTAATGTATATTCACTTTACCGTAAATTGAAGGGGTTTGTTTTCATTGTGTGCTTGACGGACACTTGTTCGTGTTTGCTGGGCGGGGAACTTCTGATTCAGTCTCGTCATGTCACTGAGACAAATGGCCTAGAACGAGGGAGGTCTGCATAGGCTCAGCATGGCAGAAAAGATGATCCGTGCACAGGGACCTGTCATCGAAGAGCCCCGAGCAAAAGTTGTTGGAATGCACTCACACTTCAAGCAGTATCTACGTAATATTGACTTTTTCTTCAAATATAAACTTCATCCTGCATCGGCCGTCGCACGGATTACCAAAGGTTGCCTTAACTCCTGCATACAGCAGGGCGGATAAGCGAAAACATGCTACTGCTGGCGCCTCCCTTCTTTCTTTTCCACCTTTTTCTCTTACTCCCATCCCGACCCCCATTACTAATCTTCCTTCTGTAATTCCTAGCGTAATTGACAGCAGCCGAAGTGCCACTGAAGTAGAACCATCTGCAGCCACCATCCCACAGCACTTATCGGACGCCTATCTGCAAAAGTCCCTTATAAGGCCACGCTATCCCGTTTCCATGGCGACATTCAATGTTCGCACTCTAAGACAAACAAGTCGACAGGCTGCACTCGCACGCATCTTGGACACACTGGATATTAATGTGTGTTGTGTGTCCGAAACTAGGATCAATGACCCTAACGGGGTTATTGAATTAGCTGCACTCAGCACAGGTGTGGATACCGACCATGCACTTGTATGTGCTGACCTGCGGATGCACTTTGGCGGACGCCCACGACGACGTTGTGAGCGCGTCGACACCAGCCAACTGGCGAAGCCAGCTGTTCTGAAAGCCTATCAAAGTACGTTGTCATGCGAGTTGGATAAACGCTCACTGGATGCTGTTGCAGGTCACTGGTCTCATATTCACCAGACCTTACTAGCAGCAGACAAGTCCTTATGTGGTATGTCTAATCACCAACATGGATATTGGATCTCTTCGCGGTCTCTGGAACTTATAGATGCTCGCCGGCATATTCCGGCTGGAAGCGAACACAATGAAACTCGCAAAGAGCTCCGGGAAAATTCCGTGCTAGCCTGAAAAGAGACCGCGAATCCTGGTGGTCTCATCGTGCATCAGAGATGGAAATGGCCGCTGCCCTTGGTAACCATCGTAAGTTATTCCGGCTGATACGGGAAACGGGCAGCAGGAGACCTGGTGTTAGTGAAACTATACGTGACGAGAGTGGACAGTCTATCCACAACTTATCAACAAGCTTAGAGCGTTGGGCTGAGCACTTTAAAAGGCAATGTCATCGGTCGGAATTGTTAGATTTCTCGCCGGCCACTGATCGCCCCGCTCCCTGGGCTGTCCCTTTGGACCCACCCTCTCGCTTAGAAGTCGAACGTGAGATCGAACTGTTAAATAAAGCCGCGGGACCTGATGATCTTCCTCCAGCCTTCTTCAAATTCGGAGGACCTATTCTTGTGGATGACTTACACGAGTTACTAGTGAAACTGTGGGAGCAGGAAACTGTCCCAACCGCCTGGAGCCGCTTCGTCATAGTCCCAATTTTCAAGGGAGGCTCACGATCGGAATGCGACAGCCATAGAGAAATCAGTCTGATCTCCATCGCCTCCAAATTGCTTGCTTCTGTCATCCTTCACAGACTGACTGGCACTGGTGAAAGTCAGATTCGTGAAGAGCAAGCCGGGTTTCGTCGAGTTCGTGGCTGCATTGACCACATCTTCATCTTGCGTCAATTGTTGGAGCACCGTCACACATATTGGCGGCCCACCGTAGTCGTGTTTCTGGACATCAAAGGTGCCTTCGATTCGGTTGATCGATGTGCCCTTTGGAATTGTTTACTCAGGAAAGGTGTACCTGGGAAATATGTGAATATTATCCGAGAATTATACGCGCGTAGCTCGGGCAGAGTGAGGGCTTACGGCAAGTTGTCGTCGCCCTTTAATATCTCCAGCGGTGTGAGACAAGGATGCTCGCTGTCACCTTTCCTCTTCAACTTTGCTGTTGACGAAGTCATGGAAGTCGCGTTCAGAGGACACGACTTTGAAGGTGTGGATCTGCTCCCAGGAGAACGACTTCTTGACGTAGAGTATGCTGATGATATTGCCCTAATCTGTGACAGCTCACAAACGTGTCAAGCGGCACTGGACAGATTAGCACTAGCTGTCCGTCACTTCGGGCTTTGCTTTGCACCCTCGAAGTGCAAAGCGTTCCTCCAAGATTGGTCTGGACCGCCTCCTACGCTGACCGTTGGTGGGGATCAGCTAGAAGTCGTTTAAAAATTCAACTACCTGGGAAGTTGTATTAGCTCCCGTGGGATTGAAGATGAAATCGCGAACCGTATAGCAAAAGCTCGGGGCGCTTTTGCTAACCTTCGCCACTTATGGCGCAGGCGCGACATCACTCTCGCCCTGAAGGGTAGAGTGTACAATGCAGCTTTACGTTCGACCCTACTGTACGGTTGTGAAACCTGGCTTCTTAAAGCAACGGACCTCAAGAGGCTAGTTACGTTCGAGCACCGGTGCCTTCGTAATTTAGCTCACATCTGGTGGGAACACCGCATGAGCAACGAGCCTGTTCGACGCCTTGTTACGGTCCAGAAAAAGGAACTGAACCGCTCAGCACCGTCATTTCACACACCAGGCTCCGATGCCTCGGCCTCGTGTTACGCATGCCAGCCCACTGACCCACGACGTGCGATGTTTGCTCACCGGGGATGCGGATGGAAGAAGAGGAGGGGTGGCCAAGCGATGACTTGGTCGAGAGGAATGAAATCCTTCACTTCGGAGCTGGCCTTGGTTGGAGCGTCACGGCTCCCTGGTTGGGGTCCAAAAGACGGTGAACACGTTTGGCTGGATACACTTGCTGACATGGCAAGGAGCCGACCTCAGTGGCGTTCCTGTTGTGAGTTTCTTTGTCCCTCCTCATCCCTTTTTAGCCTCCCCCTCCGCCTACGACCTCATTTCATAGCGTAAAACAATTTTTCTTTTTGCCTAGTAGCCGGGCGTTTAGCTTACCGGAACGATGCCTATCTTTTGCTGGCAGTTCAGCTGGCATGCAATTGTTGTGTTTATTTTCCTTTTCCTTTATTTATTGCGGCACAGTAGCTGAGGTGTTTCCCACCTCTACCTGACGTGTATAGTGATAATGATGATGACCAGTCGGCATCACTGTTTCACCAACCAGGTTTTGATGATTGGATTGTGTTACGCATGCCAGCGCACCACTTTCTGTGACTGACACATTTTACTTTTTCGAGGAGCAGATGGTGGAAGAAGAGGCTCAATTCGAATTTTTTCTCGTTTGGTGTCCTGTGACTCCCACGTTGGTATCCCGGAGACAGCGAACACGTTTGACTGGATTATTTTTCATAGTCAGGAGCCGAATTGAGTGACGACTATTTTGGGAGTTTCTTTGTCTCTCTCTCCCTCTCTCTAACCATAGTCTCATTCTTGACACATAATAGTCACTGGCATTTAACTGAACTGTACTGCGACACTGTAGCTGGGATGTTTCTCGCCTCTAGATTTGGATCATTCACCGATCTGGTTTTTCAAATGAACCTGATAATTTTTGAGTCTATTAGCCATGCTTTTATCCACCCAACTTGTTCACTCTGCTATTGCAGTTAGGTTAGGTTAGGTTATTTTTCACATCGACAACATTGGGTCATTCTTCCAGTTTTTCGATTCGTGGTACGGTGGTCCACTTGATTCGTCTCCGAGTTGATCGATTTCCTTTATCTCAAATCAACAGACACTGTAGTGCAGACTGGTTGCGATCATTATGACGCACGTGAGCACGAGTTATACAATTTGTCGGCTACACGGTCATTTCTGTTAAGATCAACGTTATTATTCTACTTCATATACGTGATAGATGTTTTTCATCCGGGTACCCCGCGATGCTTGCTGTATTCTTCGCAAAACTTCTGAATGGGCATCAAGCGGCGATTTCGTACCTCGTACCAACGCTTCACGACCACGCGACCACCATCAGTAGCGTGTGGGCTAGAGATGCTGCGATGTTGCGAAAAGCATCCGTTATCGGCAATCCTCGCTTTATCCAGAATGCAAACCGCCTTGTCTAGTTTCCAATACATGGTCATTGCGTCTAGGTGTGATGTTCACTATGCCCACATAAGTATTTTAAGGGACTTATCTTTAAATTTCTTGAAAGGAAGTTTGCCGGATTTCCAGGAAATAATACTGAACTAATTCGTGAGCCTGGTTGGTGCGTGCCTTAGCACCAATGATTTGCCCGATAGAATAGTACAAAAGTGTATTTTTGGACCATGGCATAAGTTGTCCTCAATCTGCTCAGCCGACATTGCTCACAGGTACGCGTTGTGGTCGTTGTCATAGTATTTTCTCACATTCCTTTTTAACACAATTTTCAACGGACTATCATCCTTTTCAGCCTTGCCGGTCTCGCTAGGATGTTTGCAGTTGGCACTCCGAATCTCACGTCTGCCCTCAATCTTTTGAATTTGGCCACCATTGTTGAGCCGAATGGGCCCATTTACAATGGCCCCGGAGCTGAAAAACCAAAAATACCCTTTTCTCTGCGCCCACTGGAGTTTCACGAACGAGAAGCCGTTGATAAGGCAAAAAAGTACGCAATGGAACAAAGTATCCGCGCCGTGTTGCTGCGTCAAACTCAGTCGCAGCAGTCGCAACAACTCAACAATATTAAAAAGAACCAGACCGTGGCTCTGTTGAACCGAGTCTATGTCGGCTCCATTGCGTACGATGTCAAGGAGGACAGTCTGCGACAAATGTTCGCCTCCTTTGGTCCGTTGAAGACAGTAAGCATGAGCTGGGACCCAGCCACACAAAAGCACAAGGGGTTTGCTTTTCTCGAGTTCGAATATCCTGAGGCTGCTCACCTTGCTATTGAACAGATGAATAATACCAGTTTTGGCGGTCGGCAATTAAAGGTCGGGCGACCCAGTAATCTGGCAAATGCTGATCCAATCATTGCTGATCTTGTTGCCGAGTACAAATTGCAAAATCGGGTCTACGTATCAGGCATTCACCTTGATTTGACGGAAGATGACGTGGCACTGGTGTTTGAAGCCTTTGGAAAGATTGTTTTTTGCAGGTAACGTTGCCCACTTAAATCGAATTTCACAGATTATTGGTTGATCCCAATTCCGTGGACCGTCATCGGGGTTTCGGTTACATTGAGTACGAAAACACTCAGAGTGCGAATGATGCGGTAGCCAGCATGAATCAGTTCAATTTAGGTGGGCAGCTGTTACGAGTATGCAAAGCCATATCACCTCCTGACGGGATTTCCAACGCCAGTGCGTCCGCATTGCCTCCTGCTGCGGCAGTTGCTGCCGCCTCAGTTACAGCCAAAGTTCTATCAATGGAGACGGAGCAGGTACGTTTTCCGCTGATGTTAAGTTTGAACGTGCATTAGTACTGTTGTAGTGCTACTAAATATTGATTTAAGCTATACTTTACGACTGGCTTGCCTGTAAGCGAATCCTGGTCTCGAGTTGACGACGCAGAGTTAAGTTTCTTTCTCATCGGTAATCCTCTGGGTTGTAAACCCGTCTACTTATCCGCTTGCTTATACCGTGATGACAGAGTTACTAACCTCAATTCTCGCTTGTCGTCTAACTGGGGAACCGGAATCCCGGATTAGGGAAGAGCAGCCAGGCTTCCGCCCAGATCAGGGCTTTGCACACCATGTATTCACTCCGCAACAGATACTAGAGCAACACCATACGCACCGCAGACCGACAATAGCTGCGTACCTCGATTTCAAGAGTGTGTTCGGTTCATTGGATTTATCCCAGTGCTTCTCAACCTTTTTGAGGCTATTAGCCACAAAGCGGGTTCGCTGTAAACAGTTACCCATCAAAAAGTTTAGTTTAGACAGCTAGTTATCCATAAATCATTGCATTTTTCGCTTCATAAAGCGAAAAAGCGGAAAATAAATACCCTTTTAAAACTTTCCATCATTCAAATAAAGAAGAAACCTATTTTCCAACCTTTTTAACTAGTCAATGCGAGGGTTAATATTTCTTAGTTCCAACAATTTATGGTATCTTCAGTGCGGTTTCGACTAATGCAAATCGTTTATCGTGCTCCCATTTCATTTGGTTCCTTGCTTTGGTGTGTGATCCCTGCTCAAACAGGAACAGGTGTCAGTGTTTTCTCACTTGCTTCAACCGTCGCTTCGAAGTCAGTCCTGGATGACTGCTTCCCACCACCACTCTGTATCGATACATCCTGAAAACTAATCGCATGTTTCGTCCTTTTATTTTACTGACATTCGCTGGTTGCTTTACCTGGTCGACTTACCTGTGCTCCCACCTTAGTGTTCACTCAACCCTGTAATTCGACACGGCGAACGACTGCCTGGCTTAAAAGAACAACGATTCAGGAGCGAGCCGATAAGGATGCCATCTAGCTGTGCTGTTTTGCAAGCTTGTATTCGTATTTTAAGCAATAAAATTTATTGCCGAAGGTTGTCCAATTCACTGACTACTCACTAATGATTAGTCACTGATGGCCAATCAATAGCGATTGGCTGATTAGATAAATAACTTAATAAAGCTCTTATTCTCGACAAGGCGATGCACGCCTTTACAGGCACGATCATTTTTACATAGCAATGCGTGATCAAAAATGTGCAAAAATCCAATATGTTTGCCATAACAGTGTGTTTGTGTAAGGGGGTATGTATGTAATTGTGTGGGTGTGTATGTAGCTGTGTAGTTCGTGCTTGTGTTGATGTAGCATTCATGGTGCTTCTTCACCGCAGTTGGGCTAAATCAACTTACACTTAAACTAGGTCTTTTAATGTGGATAAAATTCATTCCACTATTTGGTTTGTTTTGCGTACTTGATAATCTTCTCCTAACTTGCACACGTCGCTCATGCCGATTGTGGTAACCTTCGTAACTTTCTCACGTGGTAATTTTTAAATAACTTCCGGACATTTTGTACTTTTCACGGATTCGCTTATAATCAATTTACTCCATATGCTAATTTAGCGAGTATTTATGTCGTCATATAGGTTTACTTTATTCGATCTCTTTTATATGATATCGGCATTTCGAATGATTGGCTGTTGTTTGACCTCCCAGGTGTGGCTGCGCTTGATGTGCATGTTGACAAGATGCCTACCTGTCTTTTACCCACTACCTCGTCCATACTGGCTCCAGGAGACAGTTGGTCGTTGCTGGAGGGGACGGGGTGCACGGTCCTTGTGGTCGTGCTAGGCTCGAAGAGTGGTTCCATGCACTTGGTGTGAAGCGGACTACAGACCAGCCACCGCCTTGTGTGCGCGTGATTCCCAAATACAGCGTGCTTGAGTTTGCCTGTGAAGAAGTGTGGGCTGGCTCCGTCGATGAAACGTGGCTTCCATCCACATGCCTCCCGGTCTTATTCCTTCGGGTTTAAACTGTATATGGGGTGTGGTTGGAGCTGTGGGTGGTGCAGCGCAAGCCACTCATGGTCCCTCTGTAGGCGCAGGCGTCCTGTGGCTGGCCATAGTGACAGGCAAATCCGAAACCGGATGTCGCCAACCATGTGTTCTACTAAGTGGACATCGTAAGTGAATTTGTTAACAGAACTCTGAATTCACCCACCACCCAACTGGCATCACGAGGAGGTTGTTCGGCTAGCCAGTCAGTTAGTGACATGTTTCAATACAGATAAATTTGTTTGGCGGCAGATTGATGCCCCCAGTCCTCGTAATTATAGTTACCCTCGTAAAATTCTATTTTACCTCCTTTGGGGTAATTACCCCCAGGTTGCGAACCACTGATCCATCCATTCTCTTCGAGATTCTTGTGCAGAAAGGTGTCCCATGAAATAAGTCATTGGTCAGCCCGTATCTTTAAGGATCACAAGTCTACCTTGTAGTCCGAATGCGCCGGTTCGATTCTGCGTAGGGATTGGGCGAACATCGTGGTATCCTTAGCCCACATGTGACTGGTAGTAGTTGCGCGGCACCGAAGCGTCAGTACTGCGGACCGGCTTACTGTTTATACTGAATACTGTATTATAGAGCAAGTAGAAATGGATTCTGTACAACTCTTTCGAGATATGGCGAAAAACGTTCTAAAAGTTGTCAACCTTGAATATCATTGTCGTTCTCATGTAATATTTAAAATATTCGACTTACGATATTTCAGGATTCACAAATCTGATGTCATCATAAGTGTGCAGTCGTTCTCTGAATCGAATAGAGGCAAAATGCAAATCTAACAACGTTTTGAACTGTTGCACAGATGTTGCCTCAATCACATGTTCGGGCAAACTATTCCAAATGTTTACCACTCTCCGTTCGAAGCACAGTGGGTGGGGAACACGTTTCATATCCGGCACAACAAGTTTGTATCTGTGTCCGCGTGTGCTGCATGGCCCTCGTAAGTGCAGCATTGGCCTTAACATGGGGAACTCACCGAGATGTAGAATTCAGTAGGTCATAATGAGGTCGACTCGCACCCGACGGTAGGACAAGGTGTAGAGTCCTAGTTTCTCGCACCGGTCTTCATACCCAAAGCCACGTAAACTCGGGATGAGCCTGGTAGCAACGTGTTGGACCCGTTCGATCTTTTGTGCCTCGCCTCGGGTAATCGGAAAGTAGGCGGGCGAACCGTACTCTAGCATTGGTCTAATGATAGAAGAGAACAGGCGAGTGGCAACCTCTTCAGACCATGTGCAGAAGCTACGTTTGAGCGCCCAAAGCATGCGCAGTCCGTTCCGATATAGCCTGTTCGTGTTGTCCACGGACTTCAAGTCGTAGCGTGAGAGTACACCTAGGTCCTTCACGGAGGGTGTGGGATATAGCGTTTGGCCGTCAAGGGTGTAGGTCCGGCCGTCTTCACCCTTCCCCAGGCTCATAAATACCGACTTGGCTGGGTTGACCGGGAGAAGAACTTCTGCAGACCATGTGGATAAGCGGTTGAGATCTTGCTGAAGTAGGCCACAGTCATCGGGAGCGTCGATTTCTCTCCAAATCTTCATGTCGTCCGCAAACAAGGCACACGGCGACCGGAGAAGCTGCGGTAGATCGTTGATGTGGATCAGGAACAGAGTGGGGCCCAGCACAGTGCCTTGAGGCACGCCACTTGTAGAGGGGTACCAGTCAGTTAGATGGTCGTCGACCTGTACCCTCCACTTTCGTCCAACAAGGAAGTCGCGGATCCACCGGTGCAGTGAGCCACCGACGCCACACATGCTGAGTTTGTGAAGGAGAACCTCATGACTGACCTTGTCGAACGCTTTACTGAAATCGATGAATATCACGTCGACAGACTTCCCCTTGTTTATTGCCTTCAACCACTCATGCCTCGTCACAAGCAGGTTCGTAATGCATGAGCGACCTTGCATAAAACCGTGCTGTGCGGGCGTCAGGACCTCGTTTGACTGTAGCAACTGCAGCAATCTCTTCTTCACGATTTTCTCAGCAACCTTTGCCAATATAGGTGTCAGACAAATTGGCCTGTAATTGTCTACCTTGCTAGGGTCGCCGCCTTTCGGAATAGGCTTCACCACCGCACATTTCCAGTCAACCGGCAACAAACCTTCGGAGAGCGACCTGTTGAAAAGGTCAGTCACGACAGGAGAGAGGATGGTTGAAAGTGACTTGAGAACCAGTGGGTGAAGCCCATCAGGTCCGGCAGGTTTGGTGCCGTCAAGGTTGGCGAGTAGTTGAGCTACCTCTTCAACGCCACAATGCAGACTGTCGAGTTCGGTAAAAGCGGTACACGTCGAACTCGGAACAAACACCTGGTTATTCGCAAATACAGAAGCGAAGTGCGCCGCCAACGCGGACGCACGCTCAGAGCTGGAGGTTAGGGGCTGTCCATCCGTGCCATCCAGCACTGGCACATCACCCGCCGGCTTCAGGTGTCGCTTCACGTATGCAAAGATTCTCTTGGGGGCGGTCTTCGCGGCTAATGCGAGCTGCTCTTCAAAGTGTCGGCGTTTATTCTTTTTTGCACTGTTGCAGAGATTCCGCTGACATTTATACCCTTCGTAATCATTGGCAGAGCCAGAGAGAAGGAATTTGTCCCACAGTCTGCGCCGCCTCCGAGCCAGGTTTCTATACTCCTTGTCAAACCAATGAGGCTTAATCGGTCCAACCTTTCGACATTTCAATGGCACAAATTTGGAACACAATGATGTTAATCTCTCTTTTAGAAATATCCAACAATCTTCCACAGATGCAGTTTGTGACAGAGACCAATCCAGTTGGCTCGCGGCTCGAGCTAGACCATCGAAGTCCGTTTTCCAGTAGTTGGGAGCTGGTTGCAGCGGATGTGAATACGGCAAAGATAATTCCATATCAGCTATCAGTACTGAGTGGTCGCTCGTAGCCAGGGGCTCCAGGATCCTAACGTCACGCACTAGTTGTTC